AAACTCGATTCTTCTTCCCTGTGAGGCTCCTCTTGGTGCATTTACGCTTGTGAGTAGTATCTGGAATGTCTCTCTGAAGCATCCAACAGTAGTCTGCCATCATTGTAATACTTCATTTTCCCTGGTATCTCCTTTCCATCTCTTTAATGTCTTGGTGGAATCGTTCCCCTTGTTCCTCACAGCTCCCAAATTTTCAGGAAAGTAGTTAAGCTGGGACTGGAGGAAATGCACTTTCAAACTCATCAGGCAACCTAAAGCTTGAAATGCTTTCAGCATTCGTCCGACAATCTTTTTGTAGTGAGATTCTTTGTTATTGCCTAAAAATGTCTGTACGACTTCTTTAAATGCAATCCACCCTTCTTTTTGAGGATCCGTCATGGTATTGACAAACTCTTGATCAACTTTAAGCCTTCTAATGTCTGGTCCGACGAACACACCTTCCTTCAATTTTGCCTCCGACAGGCCTGGAAACTTGGTGACCAAGTATTTGAAGCATTCTCCATCTCTTGGAAGTGATTTTACGAATTGCTTCATCAATCCCAATTTTATGTGGAGAGGTGGTAGAAGAACTTTATGGGAAGGTACCAAAGTTTCTCGGAGGACACTTTTTTCACCGACTGTTAGCACCCTCAGCTGCCAACTCTTCTTGGTCCAGTGATTTTGTCGGTCTCGACACAGAAAACAAGGGTATTTGGTATTCTTCAGGAAAGATTAACCCCTTCTACCATTAGAAGCACAGACTCAGGGCTGAGGCTTACACATACAGCATGCTGCTGAGTATTCCAGTAGTCAGACATGTCACTCAGAGCAGCACTTGCATTCACCCCCTTTGCAGGGGGGGGGGGGGGGGGGGGAGGGCAGAGATTGTTTACCTGAAAATAGCAACAAAGGGCCAGAAGAGAACAAGGGAAATGAGGAAATAGTTTTTTTTTTTTTTTTTTCCCCTAAAAATTAATTAGCTTATCGATATATTGCTGACCATCAGATTTACAGTGCTATATTTTTTTTTTTACATAACTCGAACAACCCCTTTTTAGGTTTTTTTTGCCATTTTATATCTTAAATGCACTTATGTGAATTAATAGTAATTTGGACTTTAAATTTGGTTAAAAACCCATAATATAAAAAAAATACCAAAAATTAAAAAAATTTGATAAATTTGAAGACAATTTTGCATTTTGTGGCAAATCATGACGTCTAGGAGTTTTTTCAATATTTGTTTTCAGCACACCAAAATACATGGAAATTAGATGAAAATAATCAAACAGCTTTTTAGTCACAGACCTGTGTAATTTTTACCAACACACAGGAAACGTTTAAAATACGCCCATCTTCCTAGACTCTAGAAAAAAACGAAGACCTGCTTGGAGGTAGGAGGAGTTATTCTGGACTGGCCTACTTTCAGTAATATTGTTACTGTCATTTTGCCAGTGTCCAAATTCTCCTTTTATGCAGCAGTAGAACCCAGAGGTTAAAAACTTCTTGCATGCCTCAGTGTTTGAAAAAGAGAAGTATATGTTTATCAGCTTATGACACAAGCCCAGATCGTTATTAGAACAGCAACCCAAATAAAAACCTTAAATCCTTTAAAAAAAAAAAGTAACGTTGTTGGTAGGTTAGTTATTATGTAAGATTTCGACCCGAACATTATGGAAATACTAATTGTGCATAAAGAGTTCTCTGAATAAGTTAAGCTTTTGTCTGGTCTTGACTTTTTTCTGAAAAAGAACTGCCCATTTCCTGCTATGTGAGGGTTCCTAGCCAATCCTGTGCATACGGTCACATGGCTATATATTTGTAGTGTGCTTTTACTTCTAGTCTTGGGGTATTTGTATTGAGTTTTGGTGATATTGCTACTCTGTTTCTCAATGTTTTCCTTGCTTGAGGCTCTGACCTGAGGAAACAAGACGCCATGCACAACAGCATGATAAATTGGTAAGTTAGAAATGAAAGATCAACTGCATCAGGGAGATCACAAGCACAAACTGAGGCTAGTCCTTTGCCAATCTTTTGGACACCTCTTCCAGATTTCAGTTCATCTTTAACCTGATGCTATGTTTGGTCTGGGCATGTAGGGGTTAAAGCAGGGGTGGCTAACCTGTGGCTCTCCAGCTGTTGTGGAACTACATTTCCCATGAGGCATTGCAAAGATGGGAAGTTACTGACTTGCAGAGGCGTGATGGAACTTGTAGTCCTGCAGCAGCTGGAGAGCCGCAGGTTGGCCACCCCTGGGTTAAAGCATAACACCAGCTAAATCACTGCAGAAGTTGTTTACAAATTTATGCATTTTAACCACTTGCCCTCCTGAGGATTTACCCCCCTTCCTGATCAGGCCACTTTTTGCGTTACGGTGCTGCGTTACTTTAACTGACAGTTGCATGGTCATGCAATGCTGCACCCAAATTAAATTTATGTCTTTACCCCCCCCACACATAAATTGAACTTTCTTTTGGGGGTATTTGATCGCCTGTGCATTTTCTAATTTTTGCGCTATAAAAAAAAAAAAAAACTGACAATTTTGAGAAAGAAAAACTATATTTTGGACTTTTTGCTATTTAAACAAACATGTCCAGTAAAAAAATCCAATTTCAACATAAATTTAGGCCAAAATGTATTCCGCTACTTGTCTTTGCTTAAAAAAAAAAAAAAAAAAATCCCAATGCGTGTAAATGAATTTGTTTACGTGAAAGCTATAGCATTTACAAATGGCGGTATATATATTAGGATTTTTTTTTTTTTTACTAGTAATGGTGGCGATCAGTGACTTATAGAATGGGTTAACATGAGGGGTGATCAAAGGGTTAACTGTGTGCTGGGTGTGTGTGTGCTGTGTGTGTTTTTACTATGGGGCGGTGTCTGTGTGCTTCACTCTAAGCACACTGCTTTGGATGGCTGTGCAGTGCACAGCCTTCCAAAGCAGTGTTCCCGAGCTGACAGGGAAGGAGAACGGTTAGTAAACAAAACAGTTTTCCCTGTCGGAGATCCTTGGTAATCGCCGGGCGCTGCTCGAGAAATCACCAGCCAGGACCCGGTGATTGACGGTCGCGAATGGTGGCATGGGTAGGGCGCGAGCGCACCCCCTACCCAGAAATGCAAAATTTGTGCACCTGTGCTGCCATGTAGCAGTATTTTTGCTAAAGGGCGGTCAGGAAGCAGTTAACTGTGTATTCAATTTTATTTAGCTATTCTTGTGATCCCAATACACTGTCATCTCCACTGCTTAGGCAGCAGTAACTGCATTCTTTCCAGTTTTTGCTTCCTTTGTTACTCAAATGGGGCCCGTGACATCACCAAAGGGCTGCACATACTGTCAGAAACTGCTGACCTAATAAAGGAAATGGGGGCCAGAGCGTGGAGATGCTAGTTTCGTATTGTCTAATGCAGCATATCCCATGCCAAAAATATAGAAGCATGTTACATGAGGCTAGTAGAGATCAAAGCTATTACCCTAATCCATTGTTCCCACTGCTGAGGGCTGCAGATCGCATACCAAAGGCCTCAGGTTGGGCACCAGGGCTCAGGGGCCCCAATCTGGTCCCTCATGACAATCTACTTGTTCTGATAATACAAAAACATTTTTTTTTTAACCAAAACCGTATTTAAGACAGAGGTGATTTTAGGAATGTCTGGGGCTTTTAAAAACAAGAGGCTTTATTGTGACTTAAACGTGTAATATTTTTAACATTGCGCTGTTTATCTCCTCTCCTCCCTGCCGGTCTCCAGCACTGCACCCGGGGACTAGCAGGGAGGGGAGAGACCTTGCAGTGTGTTGAGCACCGATTGGCTGCTCATCAGGAAAGGGGTGGGTTAGGGCTTATACTTTATCCTTTAACTGCCATTTTTCGCTGCCAGAGCCATTTTTGTGTTTATTTTGCACGTTTAAAAAAATTATTTTAGGCCTGATTACATAAAACCCCCAAACATTATATATGTTCTGAAAACTGAGACCCTAGAGAATAAAATGGTGGTAGTTCCAATTTATGTCGCATGATTTTACTGCAAAATTTTTAAAAAATACAAGTTTTGTTTTTAATTTTAACAGCACAAAAAAGCAATAAATTACCCTATTATTTTTTGTAAAATATAAAAGATAAGGTTGCAGCAAGTAAATGGATATCCAACTTGTCAAACCTTAAATTTGTGTGCACTCATGAAATGGTGACTAGCTTCAGTACCCTATATTTTCTATAGGTCGACACTTTTAAAGCTCCTTATAGGTCAGCAGTATAGTGTACGGAGGAGGTCTGGTGCTAGAATTATCACTTTCATCCTGGCGTGCGCAGCGATATGTGACATGAGTATCGCAATCGACGGTTTCATGTGTAGGCGTCCCAGTGTGTGCTTTTAAGTTTGTATGTGCATATATGTGGGTGCCTCAAAAGTCTCTTGGGGGGGGGGGGGGGGGGGATGGTATGTGCATGGGTGTAACTCATTTTTACAATAATTCTTCCTTCTTTCCCAGGGATTGTATTGCAATCTCTCATCGGGGACCTGGAAGTGACATTGTAACGTCACTTCTGGGGTCAGCACAAGAAGGGAAGGTAAGTGGACTTGTCCGCTCTTCTCCCTCCCCTCTAGCCATCGGCAAGCCGTGCCCGCAGATGGGCAAGCGGAGCCTGGGAAACCTTACGGCGGGGACGCAGAGTGGCTGGCACTATGTGAAAAGCAATTGGTGGCAGCGCTACCGCCAATTGCTTCACCTGACAGGTGAGCCTGCTGCTTGCCTGCAGCAGAGCTAAAGGAGGAAAAAAAAATACCTGCCGGAACTACATTTCCCGGGCGTCGGGAGATAGGAATCCAACATCCCTGAGGGCGCTTAAGTGCTCAGTAGCTCAAAGCATGTTTGATTGCCAGCACTGTGCACTGCACTACAATCTGTTTGACTTTCACTGCAAAGGTTTCCAATGACATAACCGCTTTTGAAATCTTCACACTACTTCCCACAATCCCCTTCAGGTAGCTATACCTTTCCTTCACAGATATTTTTATGTTGATTTCAGATTCGAGAAGGACAAGCTCTACGACAGTGTCTGCAAATGTTCAGCCATCCCAATCAGTTGGTCGCCAGTCACAGCCTTCTCAGATGAACAATCTTCAGTCATCTACACCTGTAGGACTATCTTCTCAGGCTACCATACATGTTTTACCAACAGGTACTGTTTTACACCTTTTTGTTTTGCTCTAAAACGGAATGTAGAGTGCAATTCAGTTTTTAAATTTAATCCTTTACAAGCACTATTGCAGACTGTTAGCTGATTCTATTCTGTAGAGGAGTTATTTTAATTTTCTCCTTACAATTGAAAGGATGTGCCCATTAGAATCGCATGATCAGTTTTGGCGTTGTAGTCACAGCCTTAGTTATCAGAAGGCAATCTGTCACAGACGGTGATCATCGAACTGTATGTTTACCGGATACTCTGATTCAGCATATTGTGGATCATGTATACACATTTTTGGGTGGGTTTGTGGAGGACCCAGCTGTCATGGTACATATTGATACATATTGAAAAAAAAAAAAAAACTTGGGAACTTTATTAAAGAAAAGTACCTCTAGGGTGGTATTCTTAGAAATACTCCTTGTACTTCGAACCACACTAGGAACTCAAGTGGTTGAGGAACTGGTGCCAGAAGGAGGGTTTTGGGTTTCTGGAGAACTGGGCTGTTTAGTTGGTTACTGGCTGCGTAGCAGGGAAAGACTGCACCTAAATGGGGAGGGCCCAGTTCTGTTGGGAGAGAGGATGGGCAAAAATTTAGAACTTTTAAACTGGGAGGTGTTTGAAATCGGAAACTTTTCCAGTTAGGGAACAAAGGGCTGAAAGTGCTATGGGGGTCAAGGTAACACTAGGATCAACAGGTGAGGGCTGGCAAAATCCCTTTGCAGCCCCAGAATAAACAGGGATAAAATAACATACAGCATGTTCACTAGTGCTAGCAGTTTGGAGAACAAAGTGGAAGAATTGGAACTACTGATATGAGGAGGATTTTGACTTCATGGAAGTAACAGACCTAGTGACAGCACATATGACAGGGTAGGTAAAAGAAAGTAAGGGGTGTGCATGTGCTGGTGAATGCAAGGGATCATATTACTAACAAGACAATAGAAGGGGTGGAATCCTTGTTGGCTGGAGCTTCAAAGAGAAGAAACAGGAGAAATAGTAGGGGGTATGCTACAGGCATACACCCTGAAGGAAAGAGGAGGTTGATCGCCTTTCCCAGTTAGAAATGGTGGTGAGGCAGGGCAATGTTATCATGAGGGAATTCAATTATCCATATATTGACTGGGCAGATGAAACTGCTCACTTTATGGTTTGGCACTTCTTAAATGTCTTTCAGGACAATTTTATGCGTGAATTGGTGAATGCCCAAACTAGAAACAAGGTCTGCTTGACCTCCTAATCACAAACAACCCGTAACGGATGTGGAAGTAAGAGATCACTTGGAAAATGGTGATCTAAGGGTAGTTATGTTCACTATAAAGCACAGGAAAAGCAGACACGAGGGTGGGATAAGTACATATATTTCAAGAGAAAACTACCAAAATACGTTCCATACTTCATAACATTAGGTGGAAGGCATTTCTAGAAACTAAAAACACGGAGGAAATATTTTAGTTAATGCCATTAGCCAGTGTATTCCAATGGGCAACAAATATATAAGAGCCAAGGTTTAAACCTGAGTGGCTAAATTTGAATGTAAAAAGGCACCTTAAAGAGAAAAGGCTGTCCTTTAAAGCTGAGGGGACACCCTCAACATTCCATCACTACAAAGAATGCAATAAGAAATGACAGCAAAAAAGACCACAAGAGGATCATAGCAGAGGGGGAGAGTGTCTGAGACTGCTCGGCACCGTCCCCGCTCCCTCCTCACTGGCTGTGATTGATGGCAGCGGGAACCAATGGCTTCCGCTTCTGTGTCTATCAATGAGGAGGCAGAGACCAGGGAGAGCGTCTGCTCTCGTACACATTGCTGAATCAGGCTAAGGTGAGTAGGGGGGAGCTACTATAGGAATCAATGGCTTCCGCTTCTGTGTCCATCAATGAGGAGGCAGAGACCAGGAAGAGCGTCTGCTCTCGTACACATTGCTGAATCAGGCTAAGGTGAGTAGGGGGGAGCTACTATAGGAATCAATGGCTTCCGCTTCTGTGTCCATCAATGAGGAGGCAGAGACCAGGGAGAGCGTCTGCTCTCGTACACATTGCTGAATCAGGCTAAGGTGAGTAGGGGGCAGCTGAACACGGAAGATTTTCTACCTTTTAATGCATGAAGGTAAAAAACCTTTAAGATTTAGAACCACTTTAAATATATCAATAGTCAAAAACCACACCAAGTAGTGTACCCTTGTGGCTAACAGAAGCCTGTGTTCTAAAAAGATTTAAAAAAAACGTAATGTGCACAAACCCATCAGGTAAGCGCTGAGCAAACTGTTATATATAGCGCTATATAAATCCTGTGTAATAATAAAGGTCCTCAAAGTTAGTCAGGTCTTTGCTAGACCAATATTCCTAATCTTTAATTAAAGCTTAGTATGAGGAATTGAGCTGTACTCTGGATAAAGAAAGGCCTGTGGATGCACTGTATCTAGACATCACCAGACCATTTGACACGGTACCCCATAAACACCTAATCTAAAAATTGAGGTCTGTAAGCGTTGACAATTTGTATATGTACCTGGATAGAAAACTGGTTACAGGGGTGCATCCGAAGGGTGGTGATAAATAGTATATCTTCAGAATGATTTAGAGTTATAAGTGGGGTACCTCAGTGCTCTGTCCTGCTATCAATCCTGTTTAACTTGTTCATAAATGATAGAGGTTGGGATAAATCGTTTAATCTCAGTATCTGCTGATCATACAAAGCTAAGCAGGGTAATAACTTCATAACAGGATATAGGAACTTTATGGACCTCAATAAAATAGGAGTGGGCAGACACATGGCAAATTAAGTTCAGTACAGGGAAATGTAAAGTAATGCACTTGGAAGCTAAAATTATGAATACAAGCTGGGGGAAGAACCTGGGGAAATCGAGGATGGGGGAAAAAATAATCTAATTAATGCCAGACTCGGCAGTAGCATGCAATGCCAAGCTGCAGCAAGCAAGGCCAGTAGAATATAATAAACCATTTAAAAAGGGTATTTACTCAAGAGCTAAACTATAATTCTGCAACTTTACCAAACTCTGATTCGGATGAATCTTGAGTTATTCCTTCCAGTTCTGGTTACCAGTACTCAGGAAGGATGTGCTAGAACTGGAGTGTGTCCAGAGAAGGGCAACAAAAAAATGAGGAACAATACGAACATTAACCTTTTGCTGCCTGCCATAGTACATTTTACTGCAGACAGGAGGCACAGGCAGGCTGGATAACATACATGTATCAGTGTGCTGATCCTGTGATTGCTGTGTCCGCCAGATACAGTGGAGTGCGGCTCCTGGTACCCGGCCACCTTGACCGGCCCAGGGATCGTGCGATTGCTATGCGACCACCGGATCTCAATGTCAACAAAGCGGTTATATATGAATTTAATTCGTAACCGCTGTGATTTTCTATACAGTGATGCTGTGATTGGCCCACAGCTATCATATGGTACCTGTGCCAATCACAGAATCCTGTACAATGTGATAGATGTGAGCCAATCAAAGCACATGCAATTATAGCTGTTAATGTAACTGATTTAATGGCAGCTCAAAACCTTTTTATTGATAATCAATGGCAATAAAAGTATAAAAAAAAAAAAACCCTGATCACCCTCCCCCAGAGTACTACAGTGTAACTGTCAAATGTTAAAAAAAAAAAAAAATGTGCTAAAAATGTAGTAATAAATACATTTTTAATTTTATTTTAAACTAGTCAGTATCTCTGATCACTGGCACACCGGTCATATAACGCTGAACTGCACTGGTGACAGTATGTATAAAACAATAAACACATTTTATTTAATATCTTAATTTTTCCAAAAACGTGACATTACAATTTCAAAAAACTCGCCATACCTCTTACTGAATAAATTCCTCAGACTGTCTACTTTCCAAAAAGGAGTCATTTGAGGGGTACTTGCACTGTCCTGGCATTTTAAGGGACTCCAGAAGTGATAGGCCATCAGTACATCAGGACTGATCAGTTTTCAAATATAAACACTATAGTTTATATACAACCCCTGCTCAACAGTTCAGATAGTGGAAAAAAAAATAAAAATCTCCCCAAAATATTACGCTGTGATTTTACCCCTCTTTAAACAAATATAAAGTAGTCCAACAATATAGTGCTCAAATCACTAGTAACATTATTAAGAAAAAAAAAAAAAAAAAAACACAAAAAGTGCAAAAATATATATAAAGTCCACTTTGCTCAAAGCGGGAAAAGTGTTTTTTAAACCAAGCTTAAGAGTCCAGTACATTCAGTCCCAAGAAACTGTCGGCTTTCAACTTTAAACATCGTCATGGCCAAAAATATTGTCACCCATGCATTTCTGTCAGATAATGCACCACTTCACCCAGAAAATTGTTGCAATTACAAATGTTTAGGCATTCGCATGTTTTTTTTGGTTTGTATTGGTATGATACAAAGAATTGAGAAACAAAAAGTCAAATCTAACACAATCCATGAAAAACCCCAAGAATGGACTGGACAGAATTATTGGCACCTCCAATTCATCTTGGTAGCACACCCCTTGGAAAAAATAAACTGAAATCAATTGCTTCCTGGAACAACAAAAACATCAGTTAACCTCCACCATGATTGACTGTAAGGACTGTATTTTATTCTTTAAAGGCCTCATTTCTTTTCCTGAAAACAGAATGGTGAGCTTTTCCAAAAAGCTGTAATTTTGTGTTGTCTGTCCATAGCACATTCTCCCAAAAGGATTTTGGCTTCCTCAGGTAAGTTTTGGCAAACTGCAATCTGGCTTTTTTATGTTTGTGCCAGCAATGGGATCCTCCTGGGTCTCCTACTATAGCTTCCATTTTTCATTCAGATGGTGACGTATAGTGCGAGCTGACACAGTTGTACCCTGTGCCTAAAGGTCATCTTGAATTTGTCTGGAAGTTGATTGAGGTTCTTTATCTACCGTTTGACAAATTCTTTGACCAATGTTTCTCTTCATCCACGTCCAGAGATATTAGCTACAGTGCCATGGGCTGTAAACTTTTTGACAATGTTGCACACAGTGGGCACAAGAACATTAAGATCTGTGGAGGTGGACTTGTAAAATTGACATTGAGGTTGTCCATTCTTTTGCACAATTTTTGTTCTCAAATCCTCAAACCATTTGCTGCTCTTTCTCTTCTCCATGCTCCATGTGGCACACAGAGAGATGCAACAGAAAGGTTGAGTCAATTTTTAAGTGGTTGCTAGCGTGGTTTCTATTGTTAAATACCTGTTAATTGATGCAGATGAGTTTAATTATTTAATTACAGAAGCATCACAAACTTGGAATGCAATTATGCCTTACAATTTTCCAGTCCATTTTTGGAGTTTTGCATGGAATGTATTAGATTTGGCTTTTTGTTTCTCCACTTTGTGTCATAGCAATACAGACAACAGAAATCAACATGAGCATGTCTAAACATTTGTAATTGCAACAATTTTCTGGGCGGAGTGGTGCATTCTGACAGATATGCAGGGGTGCCAATATTTTTAGCCATAACTGTATATCACCAATGGTGTCTTAAGTGACTACCACCAATCACCCCAATCCAGTGTAGCTCACCAGATCATATTGCTTCTCATGTTTAATTTTTCAGGCACAGTGCAAAATGGCAAAAAATGGCCTGAATGAAGGGGGGAAAACCTTCCAGAGGTCAGGTAGTTAAACTTGTTCTTCCTGAAGAAGACGCTTAAGAGGTGATGTGATGCCAATCTACAAATATCTTAATGGTGACTCCAATATTGGGAGGAAACTGTGCAGCCTCAGGTCACTCAAGAAGACACATGGCCACTCGGTGAAGTTGGACGAGAAGCAGTTTAACCTTAAACCATGTGGGTGGTCCCTTCCTCTTGGTTTCAGCTGGAAGTGTCCCCAATTTCAAAAACACTTTTCAATGGGCATCTTATTGAACATAATATAAAGGGTTATGGGAAGTGGTAGAGACATAAATGCACGCACACACAGGTTGAAATGGATGGATTTGTCTTTATCCATGCTTACAACTATGAAACCTGGCAGGCGGGGTAAAGCAGTGATCCAATCACATGAGCAGGAAATAAGACATGGGTTTTTTTTTTTTTTTTTTTTTAACCAGATTTTAACTACTGTATGTAATTACTCTTATTCTATATTTATGTGGTGACAGTTCTCAAAGACATGCAGAGATTGCACAACTAGATCTACAACTTTTTGTTTTTCAGCTCAGACAACTGTTAATATAACACAGCGGCCTGGTACACAAACGGCAACAAGGGCCTCAGCTCCTCGAGCGCCACATATGGTTTACACTACAACTACATTGCCCACTATCCCTGCACAGACACCTGTACGTAATACTGTCATGCAAAACCAGAACCTACGACAGATGACCCCACAAGCAGGAGGTAAGACAATCCTATAGTATGAGGAGAAATATTAACCACCTTGACATTTGCACAGTTTTCCAGAATTATGCACAAATCTGAAGTTGCTAGGTTTGCCACAACTATAGATTTTCTCACCCCAGTATTTTCTTACTGAATGTAATAATGAATTCTTAACCTTGTGGATTTAGGAATTTTAATTTTCAAATTAGAAAGATTAACTACAGGATTAACTCTTTGATTTGCAACTAAAAACTCCCTATGAATGTTGTGTGTAGTAAAATGTGACCCTACTTAAAACCTTGTCCTGTGAAAATTCCTTATGTACAGCTGCACTATTAGATTTTTTTGTTTTTTAACATCTCTTCCCTCTCGGCCCTCAAAATGTTTCCTTTTTTTTTTCTTGGCTTTATACTTGTCTTTAGCCCTGATTCACTGTGCTGTCCTGACATAAGCCTCACAACCTTTCCCCTGAAAAAATGGTTGCTCCATACTGCACCTGCTTGCTGTGACCCAGTTTGTTTCTATGGGAAAGCTATTTTCTATCCATACTCATAGCAGCCTCAAATTTTTGATCAGAGTGCAGTACACAGCAGCCATTTTTGAGAAGCGAGATTGTGCAGCTCAGAGTAGGCAGCACTGGGAGGGAAAGGGGGAGACGGTGTTCGTGTGGTGTTTTTGGGGGGCAGTTTAGAAACCTCTTTTAAATTGTGTTTTGTTTTTTTTTTAGATATCATGAACAAAGTTCAAAACATAGGCACTGTAATCTTAGCTAGGTCCATGCAGCTGCTGTCACAGAAGAAATTGGTGGGACTGCCTGCACAGGGATGCACAAAACAAATGTTCATCATGTAAACATGGCCCTGCATGGGTGTACAATGTAGTCGGCCCCGTGTAAACAAGAGCTAAATCATGCTGGCCACAATCAAGCTTTCCACACCTTTTTATATAAACAAGCTCCTTTACTTCAGATTTGTTGTATCTCAACTTTTTCTGTTCAGAGACTTCAGATTCTCTGCTTTCTTCCCAGGCAGTGATACCTGTATTTTGTATGATGACCCAATGATCCCCTGTATTGTCACATTTTTATTTCCAGTGTAATTGTTACTCAGCTGTCAAATCATAACCCACAAACAGCATTCTTCTGCTCTACCCTTTTGGTCCTGCCTCCAGTTACATAATTCATGTGAACAGACAGCAACTCCAGGAACTTTCCAAAATGGTCTAAGGCTGGAGCTACTTGGGGATAGTGGCTTAGCTGTGTTGCCTAAAATTTATAAGCATTTACTCACAAAATTTGGCAATTCAATCAGACAGTTGCAGCATTGTGAAATCATTTAGTAGCAGTCTTTACTACACACTGATTAACACCATAGCAGTGCATTGGTTAAACAGCTAATCTGTGTTGTAATTTGTTTACCACTCTCTAAATTGTTAGTGTGGTGGCGCTACTAAAAATTGGTGGATGGCACGACTTTACCTTTTATTTAAACTATTTCTTTTCAAAATGAACACCGTACAGAAACTTTGATTATTTATTAGATGGCCTATTAAACAAGCCTATATCCAAAGGAGGCCTTGGTAACAGCACAGTTTTTTTTTTTTGGTTTTTTTTTTTGTCTGTCTGATTTTGCATTTAGTCACTTGTTTTCAAAAGATTAATGATTTTTTCTTTTTTTAATATGTATATCTTTTTTTTTTAGGTGTTCCTGTAAGAATGCCGCAAACAGCTGCATATGTAGTAAATAATGGAGTACCTATGGGCTCTGCACCGCAGCTCACAGTTCATCATCGTCCCCCACAAGTAAGTGTAAATGCAGCTTGTCTGCAATGTCTATTTTTCAGATAAGACCACTGCTGTGCCTTGCAGCTGTTAAAACTATCTGTGTACACACTGCAGGTCCTCTGGCTATTCAAAATGGTTGACTGTCACTGGATTGAATTAAAATTAAACAAACTATATATCCTCCAGTTAAATAAAATCTGTACACGATTTTTTTGTGAGAACATTGAGAAGCACTCTTGTGGAGTTCACCTTTTTTGAACCACATCAGATGCTTAGTAGTACACTTCATCTGCTCATTTAGACTGTAACTGAAGGTAAAATCTGTTGTGTGTTTTTTTTTTTTTTTTTTTTTTTTTTTTTTTTTTTTGCCATCTGTCCTTTTTAGGGAGATTCACCCTCTTTGTTCTGGTGATCATTCTAACGAAAAGTGAAAATTTCCCAAATTTTGAGTGGTTATCGAAATAGACAGAAAATATTCTAACTGGTAAACTAGTTCTGTCAATTTTGCTGACTACCAGGGTTTTTCCTTCATTTGGGGAGGGGGATTTCTTCTTGCCTCCTGTTGTGGCTATGCGAGAAAGTGCAGGGAAATTTTCCCAATGGCACACAGTTCGCAAAAAAACAGGCGAGTTATAACTCTCCCTTTATCCAAAGTGGGGGGGAAAAAGTTTTGAAGGAGACTGGGTATGACTATAACGTATACATTTCCATATTGTACACCTTAGATATTGTAAAATATGAAAAGGCTATAAATATCTAGTTATCCCCCCCCCCCCCCCCCCCCCCCCCCCCCCCCCCCCCCCCCCAAGCATACTCTGGAAACTGTCTCCAATACTGTATATTTGTCAGCAGTGATTAAACCTATATATCAGTCCCTATTTAAGTCCATAATTTAATATGTGCAGTGCTAACCTGACTGTATTTCTGAGAAAAAAGTCTCCTGGCTATAATCTCCTCCTACCAACACTTGCTTGTGACCTAGAGGGATGGATTTCTGTCTTCAGCTCTGCTGAGTCAAGGCATGATCTGCTTGCAGTATTCGGCTTACATTCCTAAGTTGGAGGAGACAGTGTTGGTCCTCATTGATGTGGTGCACACCACTCAGGAACTGTTAGGATCAGTGTGTCTCTTCTACCAGTGCAGTGTCTGATTTTTGGTCGTACAGGGTACCTAGGACCTCAGTGACTTTCCCTTTGCACTCACATTTTCAGTTGTTAATGCAGAAAGGTCAGAAGCATCCTGGTTGGATTTTTGCTGCTTCCAAACACTTGCAGACTCTGCATCTACTTAGTGAGAAGTTTGTCACAAAGTGGTCCATTTCTACTGTGGTCCATCTCTCTTCTGTCAATATACCAGTGAATGCCTCCCTTTCCCCCCCCCCCCCCCCTCCAATTTTGTTTTTCTCTTCCCCCCCCCCCCCCCCCTTCTTTTATTTTTTTTTTTTTTTTTTTTGTTGCCTGGTGATCCTGCCAGTAACACATCTCCTTACTCTTACCCTGCACTTACTCTGGATAAGGTCGCAAGCAGAGATGCTATTGGACAGCAGCATTGTTATTCTGGGGAGAGGGGATTGTTAAATGGACTTGCAGATTTTAGGTACACAAATTGAAGGCCTTTTAGCTGTGTGGTTGGTTTGACCGCCCCTCAGCTGGACTTCTATTTAGCATACCAGGTTTTAGGATTCCAGTGTCCCTCCATGGATGAACAAGAGAATTGGATAACTTACAGGACATGGGTTTGATATTTATAGGCCCTCGTTTTATAGGATGGTACCTTCAGGTGATTGGACACTGTCAAAGCTTTGGAGGATGCCTGTCAGTTGAATCTTCAATAGCTGAAGTTACTGTCCTGAGAGCCTCTGCAGAGCTGTGTATGACCGCTCACGAACTACTCTCTTGTGTAAACTGAGTATCAGATATACAGAGCTTCAGCATAACTCCTCTGAGCGTAGTGGAGTATCCCAATTTCAGTCTAACAATGAATGGATAAGCAGATGAATAAAAAATCTTGAAAGGTTATCAATGTAAGTCTGGCTGAAAAAGACAAACGTCCATCCAGTTCAACCATAGGAAAAAAAAAAAAAGTTATCCTATACCCAGTTGATCCAGAGGAAGGCAAAAAAAAAACCCCAGCAAAGCATGATCCAATTTGCACCTGCTGGGAAAAAAATTCCTTCCTGATCCCCCGAGAGGCAATCTGATATTCCTTGGATCAACTTTACCTAGAAATGTTAGTGTCCAGTTATATTCTGTGTATCTAAGAGAATCCAGGCCTTTTTTTGAAGCAATTCACTGAGCTGGCCAGAACCAACTCTTGAGGGAGTCTATTCCACATATTTACAGCTCTCACTGTGAAGAAACCTTTTCGTGTTTTGGAGATTAAGTTTCTTTTCCTCCAGATGTAAAGCGTGCCCCCTTGTCCTCTGTGATGACCACAGGGTGAATAGCTCTACACAGAGTTCACTATATGAACCACTGATGTATTTATACATGTTGATCATATCCCCCTTAATCTCCTTCTCAAGAGAGAATAAATTCAGTTCCTCTAATCTTTCCTCATTGCTGAGCTCCTCCATGCCTCGTATCAGTTTAGTTGCCCTTCTCTGTACTTTCCCAAGTTTCCCAATGTTCTTTTTGTGAATTGGTGCCCAAAACTGAACTGCATATTCCAGATGAGGTATTACTAATGATTTGTATAGAGGTAAAATTATATCTCTCTCTGGTCTATACCTCTTTTAACCACAAGCCTACAGGGCACTTATACCCCCTTCCTGCCCAGGCCAATTTCCAGCTTTCAGCGCTGTTGCACTTTGAATGACAGTTGTGCGGTCATACAACACTGTACCCATATGACATTTTTTATCATTTTTTTTTTTTTTGTGACAGAGCTTTATTTTGGTGGTATTTAATCAACTCTGGGTTTATTTTTTCTTAACAACCAAAAACCACTGAAAATTTTGAAAAAAAAAGTTTTTTCTTCGTTTTTGTTATAAAATGTTGTAAATAAGTGAATTTTCTCCTTCACTGATGTGCGCTAATGAGGCTGCACTGATGGGCACTGGTAGGTGGCACTGATGGGCTTTGACAGGCATCAATGATGGGCACTGAAAGACTCCTATATGGCACTGGCACGTGGCACTGATGGGTGCTGGCACGTGGCACTGCTGGGGCTACACTGATCAGGGCACACTGATCATCAGTGCTCTGATGATCAGTGTACACGTCCCCTCCTCGGAATGCTGATTACCGGCTCTCCTCTCCTCTCAAGCTGTCAGCGTGACAGCTCGAGAGGAGAGGAATGCCGATAACCGGCAGTTCCCTGTTTACATGTGACCAGCTGTGATTGGACACAGCTGATCACATGACCGAGCCGACATCTTCGGCTCTTTCCGTGGATCTATCAGAACTCCCAGATCCTTCTCCACCATTGATTCCCCCAGTTGTACCCCCCCCAGTATGTATGATGCATGCATATTCTTAGCCCCCAAGTGCATAACTTTAGATTTATCAACATTAAACCTCATTTTCCACATAGTTGCCCAATTAAACAGTGCATTGAGGTCCGGTCCAGGTGCTTTATTCACCTTTATTCTGTCTAAATATTTTTGGATCATATCAATTGTGAGCCAATGTGGATCATATGGAGCTGTGTCATTACCATGCCCATTATGGACAAGAGCTCCCCCTTGCTCCTTTGTGTATATATAGAGCAATATATATATAATTTTTTTAATTGTAAAAAATGTTTAGAGGGCCGTGCTCTGTTTTTGTGTTCTCTGCCTTGCTTGCTAAAAGACTAAAAGTGATGTAGGAATATAAGGGGTGCTGAGGGGGTTTATCCTCAAAAGCTCTGTACCTTGAGGTACAAGCCTATAACCCAGAGTCTAAGAATATCAAAAAGGAAGAAATGGGAAGTGCATATATCTGGCACAGTGAAACACTTTGATTAAAACCAAGGTTAATTTTTTATTTTTTTTTAATAATAATGCTTTAATGGCCACATGGGAAGGGTTATCATAGGATCCAGCACTGTAGTAAAGACAGCCCTTTTATCCATCCCAGAGCTCTTGTAAATCCAGGCAAGATGGGATCAATCTGCAGTAGTCAAGCTATTGTGCTTATCCTGTTGCAGCCGCTGCACGTGTCCTGCTACTCTGTGCAGAGCACTGCAGTGAACTGTGAATGATTACCAGGGCAGTGTGTTTTGGGAAGGCTTGCGATTGGGGTCAGCTGTGTCATAAACCCCTGCATAACAGAACAAAATACTTCTTACCTGAGGCACTTAGAGAAATGAGAGCCTAAGGAAGGATGGGAGGGCTCAAATGAATGCTGATACAGTCTGCTCAGATTTGCAAGAAGCCACAATAGTTTCCTGTGCTTAACTGCACAATAAAGGTCCTGGGTTTGGCTGTAGGAAAATCACATGGGACAGAAACACTTCAACAAATTTGACCCAGCAACTCGATAGGAATTCCCAGGGTAGCCTAAACTTAACTGCAGAGTTCTGTGCTAGCTGGAGTTTAGAGTGGCCATGCATGGTTTGAGTGATTTTTCTGTTGAAAATCGTAATTTTGAAATATTGCTCAAATTTGGACTATTGATGGGGCTGCAAGCAAAGGCCAATTTATGTGTAGCCATTGAATTTGAGTGATCAGGCCTGTTGGAAATTTTTTTAAAAAAGGAACAAATTTCTAATCAATGATGGGAGGCTTGTGCAAGTAATCAGAAAAAGAAATGCACATGAGCTGTGACCTGGAAAGAAAAGAATATTCCCGGATACAATTTCTTTTCCGTAACAACTTGAGGTGAAATTGAAGGCTACGCCGGCTGAGTTTTGAAATCTTTGGTGGCACCATCCGGAATACAGAACATAATTTTTCAATTTCAATCGACACATCGTTCGGACTTCGACCCATGTATGGCCTGCGTTAGACTGGGTTGCCACTGCAGGGAATGCAGGGCTGTCACAGAGAAAACTTGGTACAGTGAAAAAACCCACAAATATTGGCTGAATGGTGAGACTTCCAGAAACCTTAGATTTTGGCTTGGACCTACTAGCAGTTGAAAAAAAAAATTCCAATCCAAGTATAAGACCGGAAAAGGGAGGGAAACACCTAATTTTACTTGAGGACACAAAGCAGAACACCAAAAATCTGTCAGTAGGGGTTATAGTCCCTAGGGCTAGTAGCCTCCAGTGTGTCTTCCTTTCCTTTTTTTTTTCTTTTCTTTCTTCATAGTGTCTTATCTTCTGTAGCCAGAAATGTAAACTCTGGGTTGCTTAATAAAGTTAAATCCCACAATGGACTTCCAGAAAAGGAGTACAAAAATCCAGTTCTCAGAGTCCATTGAGATACTCAGGTCCTGCTCTGTGTTTTATAATCCTACTCTTAGTACTGCTTTGCTACTAAACTGGCATATTGGCAGGAGGAGGTGTTCTACCCAAGAACTTTTTAATCAAGGTACGCTGTTCTTCTAAATGTCTGGAACGGCCCATTTTCCTCAGAATTTCAGAGAGAAATGCACTGTAACCAGCATGTACAACATTTTGCTGCCTTCCTTCCTTAAATAAGGGCAATAATTGCCACCTGTTTTTCAAAGAATGAATGACCTCACTAATAGAACTCCACACTGCTATTATTTTGAACATGCTCCTTTCAATTAGTGATTCAATTACACAGAATCAGCAGCATGCATGTCATGACTGTTGGGTCTGTTGGATTTCTATTACTCTACTACACCTGCTAGTAAATTATTTGCCATGTAGAAATATTATTTCTACCAAAAACAGTGATTGATCAGGTTAGTGATGTCTGACTGCTATTATTTTGAACAGAACTGTGTGTGTGTGTGTGTGTGTATATATATATATATATGTGTGTGTGTGTGTGTGTGTGTGTGTGTGTGTGTGTGTATATATGTATGTATATATATGTGTGTGTGTGTGTATATATGTTTTAAATTTTATGAATTTTTCCCATTTATTTTACAGTAATTTTTTTTTTTTTTTTTTTTTTAGATAACACACTGACTAGAGTAATATAATGTTACCAGAGTAACGTACTACTCTGGGGCAGTGGTGTATTTAGGTTTTGTGCTGCCCTAGGCAACACAAAAGCTGCCCCCCACCTGAGAGATCCTTCCACTACTACTGCCCCCATACACCAGCCACCATCCCCCATGGCGAGAGAGACACTCACCTTCACAGGTCCGGTCATCTCCGGGAACGAGTCAGGCTGTGCATACATCATGAAATCTACAGCCTCTCTCGGAACCCACCAGGTCCCCATGCCACATGTGTCCCGTTTTCCGTTCCTTCAAGGGGCAGTGCTGCCCCCCTGAAAAATGCCCCCCCGGGGAAGTTATTTTTTTTTTTAGCACATGAATTTCACTGCTATAGGCAAGCATTTAATTGACTGAAATTGACTTCATTCAGTGTTTTTTGTTGTGATTAGCTGTTACTGGCCACAGCTGATCACGTGACACAATGTGCTGTGATTGGCCCATTCTGTACATGTGATCACTGTGATCAATCACAGCTAACATAATTGTAAACAATGGATGGCTTTCTTTCATGCCATCCATTGTGTACAGTTGTCATGTGACCTGCTGTGATTGGTCACAGCAGTCACATGATACTGGCAACGGGCCAGATCGGTCATCGGCCATGTCCTATAGACACAGCCAGTGACAGATGTCACCGCAGCGAGGCCCCGTGGGCATGCACAAGGCAGCGATCCTGGAGGACATCATATGAAGCCCACCAGGATCGACAAGAGTCTTGCTCAGCTGCTGTTCACCTATAGGCTGGGCGGGAACTGGTTAAACATTCAGAATAGAGGTAGATTAATGTCAGCAACTGAAATACATTGGATGGGGATTTCAAAAAACGGTCACTCAAATGTAGAAATACTTGCAGATTTAAAGCTATTTGTGCACTTACAAATGTTTTTATTCCTAATAGGAGCCAGCAAGGCCAATCCATCCAGCACCACTTCCTGAGGCTCCTCAACCCCAACGCCTTCCTCCTGAAGCGGCTTCAACTTCTCCACCTCAAAAACCTCACTTGAAACTTGCCAGAGTTCAAAGCCAAAATGGAATTGTTCTTTCCTGGAGTGTATTGGAAGTGGATCGTAGCTGTGCTGTAGTAGATAGCTACCACCTCTATGCTTACCATGAAGACCCATCTGCAACATCTCCTTCACAATGGAAAAAAATTGGGGAGGTGAAGGCACTACCTCTTCCTATGGCATGCACTCTAACACAGTTTGTTTCTGGCAGCAAGTACTATTTTGCTGTTAGGGCAAAAGACATTTACGGCCGCTTTGGACCATTTTGTGATCCACAGTCAACAGATGTTATTTCCACTCAGAGCAGTTAATTTCAACCAGTGTCTGTACTACCATTTGCCAACATTGTTCTCTACATTAACATCATGCATGAACTTTGCTTTGGAGTAATTACTGAGTTGAAATATATTTTCCAGTGTAAGAAAATCACAACAAAGTTCTAGTCTTGGATCATTGCTTGGACTGGTCTGCAAAACCTTATTGAAACGGTTTCTTCTCTTATGTTAGTATGAAAGTCTATAAATCAGTAAATCAACACAAATCTAGAATAAAACAGGTAATTGCACAGGTTTTAAAACTTGCGCATATGACATGGTTATCAATGTAAAAGCATTTGTATATTATTTAATAGTGCGAAACCTTGCTTTGGTATTTGGCAAGTTTAGCTCAACAAGACAAGTATTACAGAGTAATTCAATACTTTCAGTCTGTTTCATACATATGAAGGCAAAATTGGTATTTTTCCCCGCTGGCTGGGCTAGCTGGTGAGTTTGTTGGTGAACAATTGTCTATGGCATTTACAAAAAAAATAGCAAGGTCATGTCTTCTCTAGTGGATTTGTATGTGTACATATATAAATATAGTGTTTGTTTGTTTTTTTTTTTGTGCCTTAAATTTACTTAAATGCTTTCAGTATTGGTTCTAAGGATTAATTCTCTTTGGGAGGAAAATTAAATCTATCCACATCCGAGCGCCAAAGAGCTTGCTTTTTTTTTTTTTCTTTTTTTTTTTTTTTTTTACCCCCTGAATCTGTGAATGTTTACTTTGTTTACCCTCCTTTCCCTATTCATTTATGCTGTATAGCACAGTGGTCATCCACCTGCAGTTACCTTGTTATTGTGTTTTCAGATGTTTTTAATAATAAATTGAACAATTTGGGATTAGTTGCACATATTGCTATTTTACAGTGTGATTGTGCCTCCAAAAAGGATTTTTTAAAATCATATTTCGGTATAAATGCATGAATTCATATGTACAGTGCATCCTCACTAGTAAGTGAGGACAAGTATTTTTGTATTAGTATAGATTTTCCCGGCTGCAAATTAACACTTTCATTACAGGAGAAATAGTTTTGTTAGCTATAATTCAGATGATATGTCTGTTCTGTGCAATGTAAATCCCACTGTATATTTCTGATTTTGTTTTGTTTTGTTTTTTTAATCAAGAATATTTGTTACTGCAATTGCAGTACAGTTTTTAGGAATGGACATTTAACTCTCCAGAAACTTGACATTAGATTTAACCAACTGGTAATTCTTCCAGTAACTTGTAAATTCACACTCCACCTCCTGATGTTGGAAAATATAATTTTCAGTAAGTGCTGGACATTGGGAGAAATACTCTGCTTGCAAGAAATATTGTTACATTGTATGTAAATAAAATATTTTTTACATATCTTTAGCTTCTTGATTGGTAATACTTAATGCTCTTGAAAAATGTGTTATGTGCTTTATAAATATGTGGCTATGCAATTTTTTGCACAGAGGGAACCCTTAAAGCTGAATTCCAAGCAAACCAAATATTTGGTAATTAGAGCTTTTGCATATTACACAAACTTGTCTACTAAGTTTCCTATTTCTCAAAATGTCAAATTGGTGTTTTCTTTTTTGTTTTTTTTTTATCTGAAGAGGCCCCAGTTGCTGCTGCCATCGTGTTGTCTGCAAAGCAACAGACCATCTAACCACTGTATGGAGTGGAGAGAACTTGTCACCTTGTCTGTAATAGAACAGTATATGCAGTTTCTTCCTGCTCAGCTCCCTCCCTTCTTTCAGCTTCAAATCCCCCCCACCCATGCCACCCCCAAACTTGCTAAGGTTCACTCCTCCACCCCCAGCTACCACCTTGGCTTAACCTTCCTCTTGTGTTAGTTTCCTGTTACCATCTCTTATGTTAACGGGTCGGTTTTGACCCGTGTCTTAAATCAGCTGTAAAATACACTAAAAACCATTATCTATCATCAAATTTGTTTCTCATCTCTTGGTTACCTTGTTAGGCTTCCTTATCCATGAAAATATTGGTTTTAATATTTTTGGTGTGGGCCCCTGGGCCTTTTTTTTTGTCAGTATACCCCTCGATTTCAATTAAAAATCAATGTAAAATGAACCTCAAGAGAATCATATAAATAAATAGTTGTCACCTGACTATTACTGAGGGGATTTAAAACACATCTCTAATATTAAAATGAAAAAATAAAAAAAATGTATTTCAACTATAGTAACATCTATGGTGTTAAGGGTCAATTTCGACCCATATATATAATTACTTTAAAAAGGCAAAAAAGTCTTTTTCAGCAATAGAACGTTAGTACAAACACAAAATTAAAAACAGTATATATATATATATATCATAAATATAACAAAAATATAGATTTGCAAGGTCAAACCAACAACTAATCAAGCAAATCAAACCAATAGAAATCAATTACTTGCTCCAACACTAATAAAAAACAAAATCAGAGTAAAAGTCTGTGTGCAAGAATGTTGTGTGTGTGTGTTTTTAGATGCATATGTGGCAAAAAGTGACACTTTTAGTGTGTTCTTTGCAGAGATATTTGTTGCAGTTGAAGCACAGTACATTTGTCTTTCTGTCCTTACTGCTTGGGCCGACCTGACACCTCTTTTAGAATCAGGTGGCCTGAGTGGGGTTGTGGTTGTGGATGATGTTGAGGCAGGGCTGGCTGAGGAGGATGCTGGCGTGGACAAAGTGCTAGGTGACCTCTGCAGCTGTCTGACCAAGACTGCAGCATCTGGGTCTCGAGGCACCCGTTCCCTTCTCTCAATGTGTGGCTTGACAAGGGAATTTCCCAGCTCCTCAAACATTCTCCGCTTGTTTTTTTTTTTTTGGTTGAGTTCCATCCTTGGTGGATGTGGGTCCACAACACAAATGCATTATATGCAGACACATCAAGGATGTTGTAAAACACAACCATTGGCCATCTCCTGGTCATTCGCTGGCAAGTCTAGGTGGCAGTCAGCTTGTCCAGGTTGTCCACTCCTTTGTTTTTGTTATAGTCTAGGATAATATTGGGCTTTTTGTCACTTCCTGATGACACAGCTGCATCTTTGTAAAGAGTAGACATAAGTATCACATTCAGTTTTTTTTTTTTTTTTTTTGGACAATTTGAGACAACAGTGGTGGTGTCTGTAAAAGCAAACTTTGTGGACAGTGCAGCCCTGTCCACCTGCAAGATTTCAGCAGGCAGCTCAGGTTTATTTTTCTTCACTGTGCCCACCATGGTAAGTTTTCTCCTGAGAAGTTCTTGTCCAAGGTCATAGCTGGTGAAAAAAAATTGTCACAAGTGATATTGTGACGCTGCAGTCCAGTAGTCTTATCGAGGACCACACGTTTTCCTTAGTTTTTCTCAGGGATGCCACTTGCAGCTTTGCCTGTGTAAATCTGTAGATTCCAGGCATAGCTGGTTTTTGCATCACAGACTGCCCAGATTTTTATGCCGTACTTCCCTGGCTTACTAGGTATGTATTGCCGGAAGGGGCATTTTCCTCGGAAAGGGACAAAGACGTTCATCCACTGTCACCTCTGGCCCGGAGTTGAACATCAGTGGAAGGAGCTGCACCCATCTCTCCCAGACATCCCTGATGGGGGCAAGCTTGTCAGATCTTGCTCTGGTATCTCTGTTGTCAAATCTGAGGACTCTTGATATCATTTGAAAGGTCTGAAGTGATGTTGCCCAGAAAATATTTCTGCCTGTCAATGCGTCCCACAGACTATCAGTGGCCTCATTGCAGGATCTGTACACTCCAGCAAGAAGAACACCACCAATATATGCATCCAGGTATTCCTCATCAATGTCTTTCCACATGCTGCCATGGACTTTTTTTCCTTCAAGGTTTGTCATAGCAATGATGACTCTATTTAGTGACAATGGCATAAATGGCTCAAAACATGTCTTTGTCACTGACTCTCATCACAGCAAACCTTGTGATTCCAGGGGTCATTGTGATGACATTTGCAGCAGCTGCCCTGCCATGTACAGTGGGGATCGAAAGTTTGGGCACCCCAGCTAAAAATTTGTATTAATGTGCATAAAGAAGCCAAGGAAAGATGGAAAAATCTCCAAAAGGCATCAAATTACAGATTAGACATTCTTATAATATGTCAACAAAATAGATTTTATTTCCATCATTTACACTTTCAAAATAACAGAAAACAAAAAATGGCGTCTGCAAAAGTTTGGGCACCCTGCAGAATTTATAGCATGCACTGCCCCCTTTGCCAAGCTGAGACCTGCCAGTGTCATGGATTGTTCTCAATCATCGTCTGGGAAGACCAGGTGATGTCAATCTCAAAGGTTTTAAATGCCCAGACTCATCTGACCTTGCCCCAACAATCAGTACCATGGGTTCTTCTAAGCAGTTGTCTAGAAAACTGAAACTGAAAATAGTTGACGCTCGCAAAGCTGGAGAAGGCTATAAGAAGATAGCAAAGCATTTTCAGATGTCAATATCCTCTGTTCGGAATGTAATTAAGAAATGGCAGTCATCAGGAACAGTGGAAGTTAAAGCAACATCTGGAAGACCAAGAAAAATATCAGAACAGCTCGCAGGATTGCGAGAAAAACAATTCAAAACCCACGTTTGACTGCACGATCCCTCCAGAAAGATCTGGCAGACACTGGAGTTGTGGTACACTATTCCACTATAAAGAGATACTTGTACAAATATGGTCTTCATGGAAGAGTCATCAGAAGAAAACCTCTTCTACGTCCTCACCACAAAAATCATCGTTTGAACTTTGCAAATGAACATATAGACAAGCCTGATGCATTTTGGAAACAAGTTCTGTGGACCGATGATGTTAAAATTGAACCTTTTGGCCGGAATGAGCAAAGGTACGTTTGGAGAAGAAGGGGCACAGAATTGAATGAAAAGAACCTCTGTCCAACTGTTAAGCATGGGGTTGGGTCAATCATGCTTTGGGGTTGTGTTGCAGCCAGTGGCACAGGGAACATCTCACGAGTAGAAGGAAAAATGGATTCAATAAAATTTCAGCAAATTTTGGATGGTAACTTGAT